GGGCCTCCAGAGTCCAGAAGGGTACCCAGTAGCTGTTGGGCTGCAGGATCAGAAGGGCTCATCGCTTCAGCGGTTGAGCATAGGGCTTCAGGGCTTATAGGGCTTCAGGGCTTATAGGGTTTCAGGGGTTTAGGGATTAGGGATTAGGGTTTAGGGTTTAGGTTTCAGGGTATGGTTCCAATGAATCACACGAACTAGGACGCCGGCGCAAGTCGCAGCGGTCGGTGCGCAACCTCTAAAATTCTCCATGCGCCCTCACAAAAAGAGCTTATCTAATTTAGGGTTTTGGGTTCGGGCGCCCTTGACCCTTCGATATTTGCCCAGCTTGTCCGCCAGTTACGCGTGTCGGGCGTCACGAACGAGACGGCGGAGGCTGCCCTAAGGTTTAAGGGTCCCATCTACTGCTATGGGTGAAAACAACCCAAAAACAAAGATATCTATCCCTATATTACCCTTATAGGGAAGAATCTGTGTTTGTTTTTTGTTTTTTTTTGGGGGGGAGGGGTTCTTAAGCAATTCGTAGTCTAGGGTTTCATGTTGTCGACGCATGTTCTTCTTTGTTCTCAGGCCAAGACCCATCTGCTCACGTATTCTCCGGTGGGTAGCGCAGTGTCCCTAAACCCTAAACCCTAAACCCTAAACCCTAAACCCTAAACCCTAAACCCTGAGGTCTTTCATGCCACTAGATCGTGTAGCTTGTAGCTGCCTGCCGTGCAACCTCCGGAGCCCCGTTGTAGGAAAGAGTTTACTTTCGGACTTTGGGCTTCAGGTTTTTAACCCGAAACGCTAAACCCTAAACCCCAAACCCCAAACCCCAAACCCTAAACCCTAAACCCTAAACCCTAAACCCTAAACCCTAAACCCTAAACCCTAAACCCTAAACCCTAAACCCTAAACCCTAAACCCTAAACCCTAACCCTAAGAATGACTTTGCAGGGTTGATTGGCGAACCGAAGTTGGGTTCCAGGTTGCAGGGCTTAATCTGCTTACTTGGAGGGTTTAGGGTTTAGGTTAGGGTTTAGGGTTTAGGGTTTAGGGTTTAGGGTTTAGGGTTTAGGGTTTAGGGTTTAGGGTTTAGGGTTTAGGGTTTAGGGTTTAGGGTTTAGGGTTTAGGGCCATGGGGCAGTTACAAGTGGGCTCTAAGTTAAGTACAAGTAGGACTGTTTTTTTGCCTTAATTGGGGGGGGGGGGGTGGGGTACCTATAGCCCTACTTAGAACTACCCATGAACCTTCAAGTATTTTCTGTCAAGTGCATGGCGCGTCAGGGTTTAGGGAGTTGAGGGCCTCAATTTCGAGTTTTGGGATGAAAATACCCGGGCTTCGGGCACCGGGGGCACGTCCAGCACTTTTCCGCACTTCCCAAAACACCTCCTACAAGGATGGGCTGTTCTACCCTATAATCCCTTAAAAGGCCTTTATGGGGTTCATTATGGGGATTTTAAGGCCTAATAGCCTATCCTGGTATAGCTGGCACAGACCCCAAAACCTGCAATAACGGCATCGGGCAGCATGAGCCCACTGCGAATCTGCGAGTGTGAGTTTCTGTGCATCTATGGGTCGTAGAGTTTAGATGTTCCAAGCGCGGCAGCTCCTGGCAGTTTCTAGATGATCGAAAGGCGCCCGCGAAAGCGGGATGCAAACGAGCCATGCAACCATTCCTTACGCCAGGCGCTGAAAACGGATGCTTTCGTCGTACAGCGAGGCCTGTGACCCATGATCCCCCAGACATTGCCTCTCTGGTCTCCTTTGCTGGTCCACAGGTTTTCGTTTACAAGAGAGAGGGTTGCAAGTACGCAGGGTAACGGGTAACCGTATCCACAATGCAGACATGCGCCCGAGCGGGCGTGAATTGCGGGTCGAAGTTGACGTTGTGGGTTCGGCGTTGCAAAACTCATGGCCTCCGCTCGATCTGGCCGCCCATTCCACCCCCCCCCCCCCCTTCTCCCCTCCCCCCCATCCACTTCAAGCATTCTGGCACCTCCGACCTCTCACACGGCACCTTCATCAATCAAGACTCCTGCAAAAAGCCTGAAGCCTTATAAATCTTAAGCCCTCAGAACCCTTAACCTCCATGTGGACTTACTTCGAGAGTGGTGACTTTTAAGCAATGGTATCCAGGAACCCTGCTGCGTAGTTCTTCCATCTATGAACAGAAGAACATAAACCCTAAACCCAGCTCAATTCTCCCTTCAACCCTAAACCCCAAAAACGATGAACGAGAACAGGCTTGGAGGTCCTGGGAATCACAGTGACGAGGTGTCGGGGTTTAAGGGGTTGGGTTGGGGAGTGGCTTGGGGGGTTCTGGCATGTCATGCCAAGTCAAGGTTTATAGGGTTGAGGGGTTGGGGGCTTTACAGGCATTTGTAATTAAATTGCGGTTTATAAGGGTTTATAGGCATTAAAGGCTTCATAAATCGTAGGCTTTAGATCTGTTGAGGGACATCAACCCGGTTTGTGAAAAGGATGTTTGGGGAGTCGGGAATCGAGGGCCCCCTGCCGCACCGATCCCAGCTTCAGGGGGCTTCGGGCTCAAACTGGGCTTAGGGCTTTAGGCTTTAGGCTTTAGGGTTTAGGGTTTAGGGTTTAGGGTGCCCAAGGGCCAGGGCTTAGAGAGACCTCGTTCAAAAAGGGTTCAGGCTTTAAGGGGCGTTCCAGGCGTCACCGTGCGTGTGCTCAGCTACTTCCAGTAGGTGGATTGATGCCGGGCCTGTGGATAGTAATACTAGTGCATACTGATCAGTTTATAATATTCATAGTCGTAAGAGTAACAACATACCAAAGCATAGTTAAGAATCATGGATTATACGAATCAACAACAACAATAGAAAACAATGAAGAATGATATTACATACGTATAGTAATGAGAGCAACAAGGCTAGTAACACTAATAAAACCAACAAGTTGTAATGATGAATGATCGCCAACCCTAAGCCCGAAACCCTTCATACCCTCAGCCCTAAACCGTAAACCCCCTACCCGAACCTGTATGCCCTACACCTAGGCCACAGCCAGGCAGGTGCACCCAATGCCCAACCCTTAGAGTACGAACGTACCCTAATGTTAAGGTCCTTCTTTCCTATATAGGGTACCCAGAAAGGGGACCCGAATTGAGAGAAAGGCTCATTTCCCAAAGTTTTTTGTGAAGCATCCTAAACCCTAAACTCTAAACCCTAAACCCTAAACCCTAATAACCCTCTTGGCGAAGGATTGAGCCCGTGGACAGGGAGGTCGCCACCTGGCAGCGGTCCTGCGCTGCTTCGGGTTTAGGATTTTGGCTTAGGGTTTAGGGTTTAGGGTTTAGGGTTTCGGGTTTGGGGTTTGGGGTTTGGGGTTTAGGGTTTAGGGTTTGGGGTTTAGGGTTTAGGGTTTGCTTGAGAGCCCTGGTCAAATAAAGGGGGCGCTGAGGACTCACTACAGTCGATCCTGGGCTCTACAGTAGGGCGCGCTGCCTGGCTGGCCCTACTACTGGCCACAAAGGCTTCACTTCTGCTTCAGAGCCAGTACCCCTTACGGAGCCTAAGGCCATGTTCCCTGCTTGAGGAACATGTCACATCCCTGACTTCAAGATGAGCACCCCTGGGAGTTCAAGGCATGCGTCCTCAGCAAAAAACCTGTCAGTTGAGGTATGTGCTCTGGGATGTTCCCTCTGTACTCACAGGATTATAGTGCCCCCTATGATAACCCCTATTTCTACTATCAAACTTGCTTAAGAGCACCCGAAAAAATAAATAAAAATCCCTAGGGATTGTAGTGCCCCCGATGATTATCCTTATTAAGGAGCTGTTAGTATAAGGGGGAGCATCTCAATATGTGCTGTTTTCAGGGCTCTTGGGCCCCTAAACCCTAAACCCTAAACCCTAAACCCTAAACCCTTAGCGCTTTGCAGTCACTGAGCTTGAGGCGGACACCCTGCAGACCATGATCGTCGAGGTGACGCAGCATGCCTCTTGTCTGAGCAGACGGTTTAGGGTTTAGGGTTCAGGGTTTAGGGTTTAGGGTTTAGGGTGCTGAAATGCCAACCTACTTGGAGGTTCATGGGTAGTTACAAGTAGGGTTATAAGCCCCAAAGTAACCAGAAGCAGAGTTACCTACTTACAACTCCACTTGTAACTACCCCTGGACCTCCAAGTATTATTTTCGTATGTGGGGGGGGAAGCAGCCCCTTCCTGTGAGTTTGGTTTGCGACTTGCGCGTTTTGAAGTTGCTTCAACCCGTGTCTTGGGAAGGCATACATAGACCATAGAGCAAACTCACGTCCACACATCTTCATCGGTACCCTCCCCCCCCCCCCACCCCCACTGCCCCGCCTTGGGACGTGCGCTAGAGGGCGACCCGGAAAGAAGTCATGGCAAAGCACCAGCTTTGATGGCCCATGGTGCTTCTTCTCGGCTTCGCCGAGTCGCTGCTGAGCAGCTTAGTCCCGTGGGTGCCAATGATGGGATCTGAGCCCTACATCCTAAGCGGAAGCAAGCAAGCGGATGTGACCAAGACCCGAAAATTGATTCAGGTGGTCCGCCTGCAGCAGACGGAAACCGATGACGCTGCACCCCGGTGTTAATGGAAGCTTTTCCCCAAGGTCACGGTTTAGGGCTGAGGCTTCAGGGCCTTAGGATTTCAAGGGTATCAGGCTTTTTCAGCCCTGACGGTACACTTGGGCTCTCAAGCAGTTCCTGATAACAAGTCCTATCACAGCCCTGTAAGCCTTAAGCACACTCTGAAGCCCCAAAAGATTGCCGCAAAGAGGTCGGAATCAACTGTCGCCGGCGGACCGTTGGCTTCCGTTGCGCAGGAATGGAAGAAAGGTTACAGCTCTACAATAGACTCGAGGTCAGCCATCTGCTGAGCGCGAATTAGAGAAAGTCGGCACTTATGAGGTGATCGTACTCAGTACAATGAAATTTTGGCTTATGATAAGGTACACCGATCCAGGCAAGCAAAGTGCAACGCAGTTGGTCTAGGATAACAACCTCGAGTGCTGCATAGGGACAAGCCTAGTGCCATGGCGGAAGATGGCTTCTATATTCTTCGAGCTACCTTGTGCTGGTCTCTAGGCAGCAAGAGGATTCAGCAAGTGTGGGCGAGTACCTGGAGAAGCACACGCTTGAAGCTTCATTGGTATATTCTGATGTATATGCTGGTAAGTTGCAAATAGGATGATAACTAGCCATGAAGTCCCATAAGAATGTTCAAGTCATCCAGCGCTTAAGCGCACGGACCATGCGATTGGGATCAGTTTGAGCAGCGTGCGTGCTCTCCCGTGAAGTTTCTCTACTCGTCATCTGATGCATCCGCCCTACATCCGTTTGTTCCAGAAGCTCTGGCAGATGATGCTCATGATGCCTGGCGTGGTTGGGGTTCTCAGTGAGAAGCTCTGGCAGCTGATGCTCATGATGCTGGCGTGGTTGGGGTTCTCCGTCAGAATCTCTGGCAGCTGATGCTCATGATGCTGGCGTGGTTGGGGTTCTCCATGAAAAGCTCTAGCAGCTGATGCTCATGATGCTGCGGTGGTTGGGGTTCTCCACGAGAAGCTCTGGCAGCTGATGCTCATGATGCTGGCGTGGTTGGGGTTCTCCATGAAAAGCTCTAGCAGCTGATGCTCATGATGCTGGCGTGGTACGAGAAGCTCTGGCAGCTGATGCTCATGATGCTGGCGTGGTTGGGGTTCTCCATGAGAAGCTCTGGCAGCTGATGCTCATGATGCTGGCGTGGTTGGGGTTCTCCGTGAGAAGCTCTGGCAGCTGATGCTCATGATGCTGGCGTGGTTGGGGTTCTCCGTGAGAAGCTCTGGCAGCTGATGCTCATGATGCTGGCGTGATTGGGGTTAAATGTGAGGCAGCTGATGCTCATGATGCTGGCGCGGTTGGGGTTCTCCGTAAGACCCAAAGTGCTGAATCTGGACTTTGACTGTTCTTGGTCAGGCTGCCTGTCTTCGAGGCCGTGCACGCGCTGCTGTTTTGGATTTCAAAGCGGATCCATGGCCCCTCCGTGGAACTTGACTCATGAAAGGATTGCGCCCTACCTTCAGGGAGTTCCTCCTGCCTCCTGTTTATCTTATTCTCAACTCTGAATCCAGTGTAACCTCTGAACGCAACATCCTCCTGAACCCTAATCCCTGGAGCCCTAAGCCCTCAACTGCCGAGGTCCCGAGGTCAAAGTCGTTCATCACGAGTGGGCGAACCTGCTTATCTCGGTCATGCAGGTGGGGCGAAAGGTTTAGGGTTTTGGGTTTAGGGTTTAGGGTCAAGGCCCGAAGCCATAAGCCAGCAAAGGGTTTAGGGTTTGGGACGTGCGTTGGGCTTACTCGAACTTAGCCACCCAAACGGCCAGGCTCTTCGACTCAAACTCCAAACTCCAAACCCCAAACCCTAAACCCTGACGCATCGAGTCCCATCCTCCCCCTAACCCCACCAACCCCAAAAACCTGAGGCTCAAGGTATGGACTTGGGGTCCCAAAACCTTGAAAGCAAGATCCTTTAGAGGTTTGGAGGAAGGTCCTAAACCCGAAGCCAAACACCCTAGCACCCAAAGCCTCCTCCCCCTCCCCCCCGGCCCCCTAAAATTTAAACCCTAAACCCTAAACCCTAAACCCTAAACCCTAAACCCTAAACCCTAAACCCTAAACCATCCTAAGCCCCAAACCCTAAACCCTCAACCCCCCCAAAAGAAACACAACAGTCAGGCCATGGTCTCCGGAGTCATCGGTGCTTACGCCTTGATGTACGAGGCCGGCCCGCTGACCAAACCTCTTGAAGGTTCACGGGTAGTTATAGTAAGAGGGGCCAGTAGGGTTATAAGTGCCTATAGTAAGTGGGGCCAGTAGGGTTTCTAAGTGCCCCAAAGAAGTCGATAACTAGTGACAGACCCAAGGGCTGCTTGAAGGTTCGTGGGTAGTTATAAGTAGGCGAAAAGTGCCCCAAAGAAGTTGATACCCAGTGATAATTCTAGAACCCACGTATAACTACGATGAACCCCCCAGCACCCCATCAAGTGGACTTCCTTTTTGTGGACTCGCGCCCAGGTTTCGGGGTTGTTTGGAATTTTAGCTTAGGGTTTATGCTTTAGGCGTAAGCGGTTAGAGTTTTAGCCTAGGGTTTGCTCAAGGTGCAGGCTTGTTCTTGCGCTTTAGGGTTTAAAGTCTTAGCTTAGAGTTTAAAATCCTTAAGCGTCAAACTACACCTCAAGCCATAAACCCGGAGAAAGGGACGGGAGTCTCGGGTTTGAGTTTAGGGCCCCGAAGTCTGCACCTTTAGCCTGAACCTTGAAACCTTAGAATCCAAGGGGAGGGAGGCTGACTGTCGGCTGAGCCCCTGATCCCAAAAGCTAAGCCTTCAAAGCCTAGTTTAAACCCCTAAACTGCTGTGTTTTCAGAACATCGCTTTTTTTGGGAAATGAAAACTGCCGGTATCCGCACCCTAATGTATTTTTCAGTTTGTAAGAGCTTCCGGTGCCGGGGGGAGGCGGGGGGGGGGGGGGGGGGGAAGAGAGGCAACAATTTGGCGGGACTTCAGAATCGTGGGGTGTGGGTTCGGACAGGGTGGCTAGGGTTAGGGTTGGGGCTTCAGGCTTTAGGGTTTAGGGTATAGGGGTTAGGGGTTCAGGGTTCAGGGTTTAGGGTTTAGGGGTACGAGTCGGCGCCTTGGGATTTAGGGGAAGCGGGAAACCCGCTTTGAAGCCCTCTGTGAGCTGGAGCTATGGACCTTCCGCCAACCTCTGGCAGCTGATGCTCATGATGCTGGCGGGGTTCTCAGTGAGAAGCTCTGGCAGCTGATGCTCATGATGCTCGCCGTGGTTGGGGGTTCTCAGTGAGAAGCTCTGGCAGCTGATGCTCATGATGCTCGCCGTGGTGGGGGCTCTCAGAGAGAAGCTCTGGCAGCTGATGCTCATGATGCTCGCCGTGGTTGGGGGTTCTCAGTGAGAAGCTCTGGCAGCTGATGCTCATGATGCTCGCCGTGGTGGGAGCTCTCAGAGAGAAGCTCTGGCAGCTGATGCTCATGATGCTCGCCGTGGTTGGGGGTTCTCAGTGAGAAGCTCTGGCAGCTGATGCTCATGATGCTCGCCGTGGTGGGGGCTCTCAGAGAGAAGCTCTGGCAGCTGTGGCATGATGCTCGCCGGTGGTTGGGGTTCGAGTGCTCTGGCAGCTGATGCTCATGATGCTCGCCGTGGTGGGGGCTCTCAGAGAGAAGCTCTGCAGCTGATGCTCATGATGCTCGCCGGGTTGGGGGTTCTCAGTGAGAAGCTCTGGCAGCTGATGCTCATGATGCTCGCCGTGGTTGGGGGTTCTCAGTGAGAAGCTCTGGCAGCTGATGCTCATGATGCTCGCCGTGGTTGGGGGTTCTCAGTGAGAAGCTCTGGCAGCTGATGCTCATGATGCTCGCCGTGGTTGGGGGTTCTCAGTGAGAAGCTCTGGCAGCTGATGCTCATGATGCTCGCCGTGGTGGGGGCTCTCAGAGAGAAGCTCTGGCAGCTGATGCTCATGATGCTCGCCGTGGTTGGGGGTTCTCAGTGAGAAGCTCTCGCCGTGGTTGGGGGTTCTCAGTGAGAAGCTCTGGCAGCTGATGCTCATGATGCTGGCGTGGTGGGGTCTCTCAGAGAGAAGCTCTGGCAGCTGATGCTCATGATGCTCGCGGTGGTTGGGGGTTCTCAGTGAGAAGCTCTGGCAGCTGATGCTCATGCTGGCGTAGTGGGGGCTCTCAGAGAGAAGCTCTGGCAGCTGATGCTCATGATGCTCGCCGTGGTTGGGGGTTCTCAGTGAGAAGCTCTGGCAGCTGATGCTCATGATGCTCGCCGTGGTTGGGGGTTCTCAGTGAGAAGCTCTGGCAGCTGATGCTCATGATGCTCGCCGTGGTTGGGGGTTCTCAGTGAGAAGCTCTGGCAGCTGATGCTCATGATGCTGGCGTGGTGGGGGCTCTCAGAGAGAAGCTCTGGCAGCTGATGCTCATGATGCTCGCCGTGGTTGGGGGTTCTCAGTGAGAAGCTCTCGCCGTGGTTGGGGGTTCTCAGTGAGAAGCTCTGGCAGCTGATGCTCATGATGCTGGCGTGGTGGGGTCTCTCAGAGAGAAGCTCTGGCAGCTGATGCTCATGATGCTCGCGGTGGTTGGGGGTTCTCAGTGAGAAGCTCTGGCAGCTGATGCTCATGCTGGCGTAGTGGGGGCTCTCAGAGAGAAGCTCTGGCAGCTGATGCTCATGATGCTCGCCGTGGTTGGGGGTTCTCAGTGAGAAGCTCTGGCAGCTGATGCTCATGATGCTCGCCGTGGTTGGGGCTCTCAGACAGAAGCTCTGGCAGCTGATGCTCATGATTCTCGCCGTGGTTGGGGGTTCTCAGTGAGAAGCTCTGGCAGCTGATGCTCATGATGCTCGCCGTGGTTGGGGCTCTCAGAGAGAAGCTCTGGCAGCTGATGCTCATGATTCTCGCCGTGGTTGGGGCTCTCAGTGAGAAGCTCTGGCAGCTGATGCTCATGATGCTCGCCGTGGTTGGGGCTCTCAGTGAGAAGCTCTGGCAGCTGATGCTCATGATGAAGCTCTCTGATCATGCCGTGGTGGGGCTCTCAGTGAGAAGCTCTGGCAGCTGATGCTCTCATGGGGAGAAGCTCTGGCAGCTGATGCTCATGATGGTGGTGGGGCTCTCAGAGAGAAGCTCTGGCGGCTGATGCTCATGATTCTCGCCGTGGTTGGGGCTCTCAGTGAGAAGCTCTGGCAGCTGATGCTCATGATGCTCGCCGTGGTTGGGGCTCTCAGAGAGAAGCTCTGGCAGCTGATGCTCATGATTCTCGCCGTGGTTGGGGCTCTCAGTGAGAAGCTCTGGCAGCTGATGCTCATGATGCTCGCCGTGGTTGGGGCTCTCCGAGAGAAGCTCTGGCAGCTGATGCTCATGATTCTCGCCGTGGTTGGGGCTCTCAGTGAGAAGCTCTGGCAGCTGATGCTCATGATGCTCGCCGTGGTTGGGGCTCTCAGAGAGAAGCTCTGGCAGCTGATGCTCATGATTCTCGCCGTGGTTGGGGCTCTCAGTGAGAAGCTCTGGCAGCTGATGCTCATGATGCTCGCCGTGGTTGGGGCTCTCAGAGAGAAGCTCTGGCAGCTGATGCTCATGATGCTCGCCGTGGTTGGGGCTCTCAGAGAGAAGCTCTGGCAGCTGATGCTCATGATGCTCGCCGTGGTTGGGGCTCTCAAAGAGAAGCTCTGGCAGCTGATGCTCCTGATGCTCGCCGTGGTTGGGGCTCTCAGAGAGAAGCTCTGGCAGCTGATGCTCATGATTCTCGCCGTGGTTGGGGCTCTCAGTGAGAAGCTCTGGCAGCTGATGCTCATGATGCTCGCCATGGTTGGGGCTCTCAGAGAGAAGCTCTGGCAGCTGATGCTCATGATTCTCGCCGTGGTTGGGGCTCTCAGTGAGAAGCTCTGGCAGCTGATGCTCATGATGCTCGCCGTGGTTGGGGCTCTCAGAGAGAAGCTCAGCTGATGCTCATGATGCTGGCGTGGTTGGGGCTCTCAGTGAGAAGCTCTGGCAGCTGATGCTCATGATGCTCGCCGTGGTTGGGGCTCTCAGAGAGAAGCTCTGGCAGCTGATGCTCATGATGCTCGCCGTGGTTGGGGCTCTCAGTGAGAAGCTCTGGCAGCTGATGCTCATGATGCTAGCGTGGTGGGCTCTCACAGAGAAGCTCTGGCAGCTGATGCTCATGATTCTTGCCGTGGTTGGGGCTCTCAGTGAGAAGCTCTGGCAGCTGATGCTCATGATGCTCGCCGTGGTTGGGGCTCTCAGAGAAGCTCTGGCAGCTGATGCTCATGATGCTCGCCGTGGTTGGGGCTCTCAGTGAGAAGCTCTGGCAGCTGATGCTCATGATGCTGGCGTGGTGGGGGCTCTCAGAGAGAAGCTCTGGCAGCTGATGCTCGTGATTCTCGCCGTGGTTGGGGCTCTCAGTGAGAAGCTCTGGCAGCTGATGCTCATGATGCTCGCCGTGGTTGGGGCTCTCAGTGAGAAGCTCTGGCAGCTGATGCTCATGATGCTCGCCGTGGTTGGGGCTCTCAGAGAGAAGCTCTGGCAGCTGATGCTCATGATGCTCGCCGTGGTTGGGGGTTCTCAGCGAGAAGCTCTGGCAGCTGATGCTCATGATGCTCGCCGTGGTTGGGGCTCTCAGAGAGAAGCTCTGGCGGCTGATGCTCATGATGCTCGCCGTGGTTGGGGCTCTCAGTGAGAAGCTCTGGCAGCTGGTGCTCATGATGCTCGCCGTGGTTGGGGCTCTCAGAGAGAAGCTCTGGCAGCTGATGCTCATGATTCTCGCCGTGGTTGGGGCTCTCAGTGAGAAGCTCTGGCAGCTGATGCTCATGATGCTCGCCGTGGTTGGGGCTCTCAGAGAGAAGCTCTGGCAGCTGATGCTCATGATTCTCGCCGTGGTTGGGGCTCTCAGTGAGAAGCTCTGGCAGCTGATGCTCATGATGCTCGCCGTGGTTGGGGCTCTCAGAGAGAAGCTCAGCTGATGCTCATGATGCTGGCGTGGTTGGGGCTCTCAGTGAGAAGCTCTGGCAGCTGATGCTCATGATGCTCGCCGTGGTTGGGGCTCTCAGAGAGAAGCTCTGGCAGCTGATGCTCATGATGCTCGCCGTGGTTGGGGCTCTCAGAGAAGCTCTGGCAGCTGATGCTCATGATTGCTCGCCATGCTCTGGCAGCTGCTCTGAGTGAGAAGCTCTGGTGAGCTCTCAGTGAGATGAGCTGGCAGCTGATGCTCATGATGCTCGCCGTGGTTGGGCTCTCAGAGAGAAGCTCTGGCAGCTGATGCTCATGATTCTCGCCGTGGTTGGGGCTCTCAGTGAGAAGCTCTGGCAGCTGATGCTCATGATGCTCGCCGTGGTTGGGGCTCTCAGAGAGAAGCTCTGGCAGCTGATGCTCATGATGCTCGCCGTGGTTGGGGCTCTCAGTGAGAAGCTCTGGCAGCTGATGCTCATGATGCTGGCGTGGTGGGCTCTCAGAGAGAAGCTCTGGCAGCTGATGCTCATGATTCTCGCCGTGGTTGGGGCTCTCAGTGAGAAGCTCTGGCAGCTGATGCTCATGATGCTCGCCGTGGTTGGGGCTCTCAGAGAGAAGCTCTGGCAGCTGATGCTCATGATGCTCTCGCTCGCTGGGTGGTGGGGCTCTCAGTGAGAAGCTCTGGCAGCTGATGCTCATGATTCTCGCCGTGGTTGGGGCTCTCAGTGAGAAGCTCTGGCAGCTGATGCTCATGATGCTCGCCGTGGTTGGGGCTCTCAGTGAGAAGCTCTGGCAGCTGATGCTCATGATGCTCGCCGTGGTTGGGGCTCTCAGAGAGAAGCTCTGGCAGCTGATGCTCATGATGCTCGCCGTGGTTGGGGCTCTCAGTGAGAAGCTCTGGCAGCTGATGCTCATGATGCTCGCCGTGGTTGGGGCTCTCAGAGAGAAGCTCTGGCAGCTGATGCTCATGATTCTCGCCGTGGTTGGGGCTCTCAGTGAGAAGCTCTGGCAGCTGATGCTCATGATGCTCGCGTAGTGGGGGCTCTCAGAGAGAAGCTCTGGCAGCTGATGCTCATGATGCTCGCCGTGGTTGGGGGTTCTCAGTGAGAAGCTCTGGCAGCTGATGCTCATGATGCTCGCCGTGGTTGGGGCTCTCAGACAGAAGCTCTGGCAGCTGATGCTCATGATTCTCGCCGTGGTTGGGGGTTCTCAGTGAGAAGCTCTGGCAGCTGATGCTCATGATGCTCGCCGTGGTTGGGGCTCTCAGAGAGAAGCTCTGGCAGCTGATGCTCATGATTCTCGCCGTGGTTGGGGCTCTCAGTGAGAAGCTCTGGCAGCTGATGCGCATGATGCTCGCCGTGGTTGGGGCTCTCAGTGAGAAGCTCTGGCAGCTGATGCTCATGATGCTCGCCGTGGTTGGGGCTCTCAGAGAGAAGCTCTGGCAGCTGATGCTCATGATGCTCGCCGTGGTTGGGGCTCTCAGTGAGAAGCTCTGGCAGCTGATGCTCATGATGCTCGCCGTGGTTGGGGCTCTCAGTGAGAAGCTCTGGCAGCTGATGCTCATGATGCTCGCCGTGGTTGGGGCTCTCAGTGAGAAGCTCTGGCAGCTGATGCTCATGATGCTCGCCGTGGTTGGGGCTCTCAGAGAGAAGCTCTGGCAGCTGATGCTCATGATGCTGGCTCTCAGTAGAAGCTCTGGCAGCTTATGCTCATGATGCTGGCGTGGTTGGGGCTCTCAGTGAGAGCTCTGGCAGCTGATGCTCATGATGCTGGCTCTCAGTAGAAGCTCTGGCAGCTTATGCTCATGATGCTGGCGTGGTTGGGGCTCTCAGTGAGAAGCTCTGGCAGCTGCTGCTCCTGATGCTGGCATGGTTGGGCTCTCAGTGAGAAGCTCTGGCAGCTGATGCTCATGATGCTGGCAGGGTTGGGGTGCTCATGATGCTGGCGTGGTTGGGGTTCTGCGTGAGAAGCTCTGGACATATATATATATATATATGTATATTATTTAATTATTTTATCATTTTTTCTTTTCTTTATTTTTGTTTCATTATTTACATATATATATATATGTATTTATATTTATTTATTTATATATTTGTATTTATATTTATTTTTATTTGCATGCTTATTTTCATTGTTATGTTTAATTTTCATATTTCTATTTACATTTATATACATACATACATACATACATACGTACATACATACATACATGCATATAAACATACATACATACATACATACATACATACATACATACATATATTCATATATACATATATACAAAACACTACTTAATTACATAAACACCTATATCTATCTATATAACTATCCATAAACACTGTTTTTTTTCACTTCCCCTGGCTCGCTCCAACACTCAGAGGAGCCCTTTGCGAGCACTGCGGCCAAGGTCGCCACGGACTCTTTCGTTTTTTTTGGAGTGTTTAGGCAAGCTCAGGGCAAAAAGGGTTTAGGGTTAGGGCTAGGGGTTTGGGGTTTGGGGTTTAGGGTTTAGGGTTTAGGGCTTAGGGCTTAGGGTTTAGGGTTTAGGGCTATAGGCTTGAGGCTTTAGGGTTTAGGGCCCGCAGAGTCCTGCAGCCTTTGACGGGAGTTCAGGATTTTATGGTTTAGGCCTTGAAGGGTTTCTTGTATTCGAGTTCACCTAGATGTCCGCAGACCAGAAGCCTAAACTTTTTTCGGAGTAGCGCAAGTTAAGTTGCCCTTACTAGGTTCGGCGGGCTTTGCAGGGTTGAGGTCGAATGGTGCAGCAAATGGGTTAAGGATTTGAGGACCTGGAACCAAGCCAACATTGCAAGGCGTATAGGGTACGTATGTGAGTGTGCGCGGCTGCAATGGCTTGGCGTTTAGGTGTTCCTAGAAGGCTTTTCATACTCGCACCCAGGAACCGCCCCCCCCCCCCCCACTTGTTTAAGGAATTTCGAGATGACTTCCCTTTGTGATGCCCCCCCTTATACTAGCAGTCCTAGGAGTATTCTAATAGGGGATACTATAATCCCGGATTAAGGGCTGTTAGTATAAGGAGGAACATCCCGAGCTTCCCTTCATGCCCTGTGGCAGGTTTTCCGGTTCGAGATGCCTACTGACACGGTGCACGGCTATTCTGCAACTTTGCAGCAGGCGGGAAGGCTGCGTTGAGGGGCTTACTTGAAGGTTCATGGGCAGTTATACATACATATACATATATACATATGTGGTTATAAGTACCCTAAACAAGGGTATAAGCAGCTATACTTTTTGTTGCCCTACTTATAACCGCACTATTAGAACTACCCATGAACCTTCAAGTAGGGCTTATTGATCCCTTAAGCAAGGTAGCCCACCACTGCGGAACTCGTAATGCAACATAATGGCAAAATGTGATGGTACCATAGCAAGAATAAGATGTAATCATATAGGGATATAGAATTTAACCATGAAATTCCTCAATGACATATTTAGCCAATAATATAAGAATATAGTAGTCTAATAATCAAGTAATATAGCGCTGCCAGGCCGGACCCAGTATTATATCATCATCTTGTGATGTTTTTTATACTGCTATTTCATTATATTGTGATATAAAGACATCAGTAAATTGTTATCGTACGGAATTCTTTGTATGAGTATATGGGTATAGTATGATCAGACCCACAACCCCTTTTTCAACCTGCAGCACCCTTCATTTCTGCCAGAGCCCCCTGGCGCTTATCGCACCTGCCCCTTTTCTCTCGCCATGAGGTATGGTAAGCAGCTGTTGTAAACTCCGAGCCCTGCAGTCTGGGCACAAAAAAACTCCTGGGTTCCAGCTCGATGCCCTGCTAACCCTCCTCCTCGGCCCTAAACTGTAAGCCTCTAAACCCTAGGTGCTTTGGCAAGTCGTTTGCCCGTCGCCTCGATGTTGACGGCGGTGGCAACAACGCTGTCTACTGCTGTCCATCAACCCTCTTATCAAAAAAGGGCTCGAGTTTTGTCTGAAGCCAGGGGCTGCCATTTATCTGCGCCTACTTTGCCTACGACCTCCTGAACATGGTGCTGTTTGTGAGCAGCTGCTGTGCTTGCAGAAACAGGTCTTGGGATGAGGATTCAGGGTTCCGGGTTAAGGGTTCGGAGTTTCGGAGAATTCAGAGTTACGGGGCTCGGGTTGAAGGGTTTGTGATAGGTTGGCTTCGCGGGATGCGGGGCGAGTGCGCGGCTTAGCGTTTGGGACTTCCCGAAACCAAACTTTCTTGTAGTACTGGACTTTTCTCGGACCAGCAAACCAGCAAGCTGTAATTCTGAACAGGCTAGCGCAGCGTCGAGAAGTAGTCGAGTTGGCGCTGTGATACACCGAATGTTTGCGGTCTGAAAGAGTGCTTGGGTGATTCAGTGACCCCCGGCCCCAAACTTCCAAGATCCATGAAGATCCTAACAAAATGTGTGGGCAGATGCGTTGCCTGGGTGCCTGAGCAGGTGACGCGAGGGACCCTCCCAAAACCCCAGACCTACGCCAATCTAAGCTCCAAGACAAGACACCCCCCCCCCTTCCCCCCTTCTGGCAAACCGTTTAAAACGCTAAACAACTACACCTTAAAACCCTAAACCCTAAGCCCTAAACAACTAAACCCTAAACAACTAAACCCTAAACCCTCAACAACTAAACCCTAAACCCTAAACAACTAAGCCCTAAACCCTCAACAACTAAAGCCTAAGCCCTTCAACTAAACCCTAAGCCCTAAACCTTGAAACCCTAAACCCTAAGCAACTAAACCCTAAGCCTTGAAACCCCAAACGAAGGTGAGGCCCTCATGGTGGCACACCACATCCTTTGTCTGCTGGTTTGGCCTGTGAGCTTCCACTACAGAGCTGGTGTCGTGCTGCAAATGAGATTGCTTCACCCTAGGGTAGGGTTTTGGGTTTAGGGTTTAGGGTGTAGGGTTTAGGGTTTAGGGTTTAGGGCCCCTAAACCGCCCTAAACCCTAAACCATGAACCCTGCTATACCCTGCTCACGTGCAGGATACTTGAGGCCGCACCCAGTCTATGGTGGTGGGAAGCCCCTTTTTGGCAGCGATCCTTCATATTGCCTACGGCTAAGTGCGATTTGCGGAAACGTGCGCGAGCTTCACCAGGAGCTTCGCATGTGCAAGAATACAGGCAAAGGGGCACCAAGGGTGGGCAAAAAGGGCGACATACTAACATAATGACACTATGGGAGTCGTTTAATGTGAGAAGGTAAGAAAAGAAACGTCGAATACAATACAATCAGACGGACGGAGACAGCGAGAGCGGCAGCGAGAGCAGGAGATGGGAGAAGTGGCTCCGCTTTCTGTCGCTCCGAACTCCAGACTTCGTTGTTGATGAACATTTCCCGGGTAGAGAGACATAGAGTGCACACCTGCAGAACATGTCATAAAGATGTCACGCGGGAGCGAAGAGAAGCCGGTCTTTCTAGCAGTGGAGGTTCACCGCCTCCGCCAGCACCCTCTAAGGTCAGTTCTACGTGATCTACTTCATGGCTGCAGAGCTCTCCACGCCAGTGGTCTGGACTTGTGGCTACTTTCTCCCCTTATATGGAGCCTCGTCTGCTGTGTCCATGCGCAGCACCGTTAAGTAAGGATCAACACGATTGGGAAGCTAATGCTCAAGAAGTTGCCCCCATTTCGTTTGTTGCTAAGTTGGCTAAGCAACCGACAAGACAACGACGACTTAGGCTGGCAACACATGCAATGTCAGTATCTACCCAAAGGCTCCAACGTAGTTCCTTTTTGGGTCAGGTATAGGGGATTCTAGTATACGACCCCAAAAAGGTACTACATAGGAGCCTTTGGGTAGGCTCTAAGTAGGTTCTTCTGCTTGAGAGTGATCTTGACTGAGAGAGCAGTTTAAGCCGTTAGATGGGTCAGATGCTTGTGAGAAGCGGCTTGGATACTCAAGCTCCTTAAGTGTACCCTGCATCCGCGCCCACGCTTAGCCTTCCCTGCCGTTGCCATACCACCCTGAAACATGCGACGTCTGAAAAATGAGGTTCATAGGTAGTTATGCGTTTCATACAAGGTAGTTAGTTACAAGTAAAGTTAGAATTACCCAAAATCAGGTCATGACTTTCGTTACCCTACCTATATTCCACTCATGAACCTCCAAGTAGCCCTAAACCCTCAACCCTAAACCCTAAACCCTACATAAGACGCCCCCCGAGGATGCCTGGGACTCCCTTTCCAAGTGGCTGGCACGCTGCTGGTTTTCATCTTCTTTGGGGTGCGCATCCTTCCGTCGCCTGGGATTTGGTGGCTTCTTGGGCTGCACCCAGGGTTGAGGGTTGAGGGTTTAGGGTTTAGGGTTTAGGGTGAGACCTTGAACCTTTTTGATCTGACCTCAACCGTATCGGCTCGCAACCGAACTTGGAAGTGTTGGCGCTTGTAGGACTCCAAGGACAGGTGTGGAGTTCGCCGTAGGCTAGGTGGACCCAGTCTCGGGCCCTTGCAGCAGTCAGCATGCAAGTCAGGGTTTGAGTATGTCCACGGTGCCCATGTGTCCGCTGCTTAAAAGGACCCAGCCCAGGCTTACCAAGATGGGCGATTGGGCCTTAAAATCCCCATATTATGAACCCTCTAAAGGGCCTTTTAAGGGATTATAGGGTATAATAGCCCATCCTTGTATGTTCAGTACAGATGTTTGAAGCCTCTCCAGAATGGCAGTAGGACGTAGGGCGTAGTGTGGTCCAACAAATGTTCTTCCCTTCGCGGTGGGATCCCCCTTCGCTTATCGCGATGACGTCTTCGGAAGCTCAGATTGAGCTCAGCGTCTAAACTGGAAGCGAAAGGAACACGAGGGAATGCAGCCCTGGTTCTTCACATGATGTCGGATACATAACAACAATCTCCACAGCTACCCGTGAATCCCTAAACTTTACACCCTTAAACCAAACTCCAAGACGGCCAAAGCTACTGCCACGTCTTGGTTTTCAGGTCGCTGGTCTCGTCCCAGGCGTCATGGGCTGACTTTCCAGGCGCTATCTATGCCGTGGTATCTCGGCACATCAGCCTGCAGAACGCTGGAGGTTTAGGGCTGTTTGGGGTTTCCGGGCAAGGTTGTTAGGGTGAAAGGTTTTGGCCCCTCGAAGCCCGTCCGGAATCCCAAGAGCCCGAAGTCATGGCAGGTCTTGCCGGTGCAACCCTACGCCCAAGACCCTGACGTTGTTACCCTGCAAGTGCGGCTGTTCTGCAGGTGGCAAAAACACCCTAAGCCCTAGAAGCCCTAAGCCAGTCACAAGCAACAGGCCCGAACCCCTGCAGTTTCCGAGGCGATGCTCACTCTTCCTTTGCCCAGCGCGCTGTTCATCTACTGGTGGGTGGGAAGGAGCTCTACTCTACACCCTCAGCCCCAAAACCCCAAACCCCCCCCCTCTCAGTCGGCCCGAAGCTCCCGACCCAGGGCTTTGCAGGGGAAAAAGGGGAGGAGGAGGGGGGGGGTTCAGGCCTCTTGGCCACGGGCATCAAGTTGGATGAACCCTAAACCCCAAACCCTCTTGGTCACGGGCATCTCCCAGCATCTCAACATGATGTGCTCCAGGGGATCTAAATCCTAAACAGCCCCCTAAACCCCAAGCTCTAAACTCCAAAAACTAGTTGGATGGCTGGGCAAAAAAACCCTAAAAAACAGCTCCGAAGCCCTAAACATTTTTTTTGGGACAAAGCTCGCCAGGATACTGTTACCCTGGCTGCGGGAGCCATGGCTTGCCAAGCCCTCGAAGCGAAGGGTTCGGGGCTTCGAGGACTTGCAATCTCGTTGCGAAATCCTCCCCCTTTATGGGTAGGGAACCCTTCAACTTTCGATTTTAGGGTCGAGCACTGTCCTGACGGTGCGTACTTCAGGAGCTTTGCCGTAGTGAGTCCGACAGAATCAGTCCCAAACAGCCTCCCGGCACCGAATTTTCAAGGGTGTACCCCAGCCTCAGAAGACTTGGCACCATCAAGTCCCCTTAAACAGGTGAAGTTAGTCTCCCTGGCAAGTTCAGGTCTGGTCCATGTGCGCAATCTCGGATTTCCTAAAACAGCTGGCTGTTCGGAAGGGGGGCCTCCCTGTGCCCAAAACCCGAAACCCTCTACTTCAAGCGTGTCGTGGCCAGCAACTGATCAAGACTACAGATTTTGTCGGCTCATGAGGGAGGAATGAGACTTGGTGTAGAGGCTAGGCACCCCTCGTGCAACTAAACCTGCCCAGCTCACGGCCCTTCGGCTGGACCCAGGAAATTAAGAAGCTCCTTTTCAAGGGCGAGGACGTCAAGAAAGACTGAGTAGTGGGCGGTGGCGCCGGCTTGTGTGTAGATGGGCGGTCAAGTGGAGGAGGTACTTACTCCATGGTCATGTCGTTGTCGTCCTGATTCACGCTTCGACCTCAACTCTCCACCTGAACGCCGTGTAGGCACTTTCATACCTGTCGGTCCTGTTGACCTCGCAGATCAGCAGCAGGCCGTGGTGTGTATCCAGGAACTCGAGAGCCTGACGTGATGGATACTATAGTAGCGGATGCTACTTTCCCTTTGTGGAGCAGGCAGGAATCTATACAGGTCCCCTAAAGTACAGTCAGGTGCCATGTCAAGCACAGATATGTTTTCGAGCGGCTGGCTGTTTAGCTTGGTTCTGAGAGCCAGCGCGCGTGGCTAGTAGCTGACCCTGCACGGCCAGTGGGGCGCGAGAAAAGTTTTGAAGAGGGAAAGGCTCACGGCCCATGTGTTTGTGTGGGTTGCGACATTGAGTTGGGGCAGTTCCTGGCAGTTTGCAGCTAGTGGCCTGCAGGCCAGCTCATCACAGATACACAGGTTGAAGAGGCCCGGGTTTAGGGTTTAGGGTTTAGGGTTTAGGAGGCATTTCTGAGCCTTGAAGGCCCACACTCTGTACATGATGTGAAAGGCGGTTTTTTGGCCATTAGTTGAAGCTTGAAGCCGAATACGCTTGAAACTTAAAGCCCCATGCGGCGACACGCGGTCTGGATCGCTTTGAAAAGGTTGTGAGATCCTTACAATGCAAGAGCCTGCGGAGGATTTAGAGTTTCTGGTGCAGGGTTTAGGGGTTCAGGGTCAAGATTAATGTGGGTGTCGCTGTGCTGACACATCTCAGGTGAATACGGCAGAAATGCAGGGCAACCTCAGGCCATGGAATGGGCATGGCTAGCAATGTGGTGTGCTGCCAAAGTAACTCTAAACCTTCAGGGTTTTGGTGATGAGATTCGCATCTCCCGTGGTAGGTGAGGGCACTTCGCACTAGGCAATGATCACGAGCTCTTTGGGATTACATAGGAGTTTCTTCAAGATTGCTACTACAGTGCTACAGATTGAAACCATACGAGACGGTTTCCTTGCAGAGTTTGTTTTTGCCGGGTCTTGCCTTTGTTGCAAAGGTGGTAAGGGCTAAGGCCAAGGGTTTAGGATTCAGGCTGTGCGAAGCGTCATGTTTGTCCACCCTCAACATCGCCCTTCTCTGTGCGGTGCCAGAGTTTTGACGTTCTGTTCATGAACAGACAGCAAGAGACACCCTCAAACTTTTCCTGAAATAAAGATAAATAGGCACATTCACACACACATGATATATATATATATACACATATATATATATATACATATTATGTATGTGTGTAGGCACACACATATGCATATATATATATATATACGTACATATATCTATATACATATGTATATATCCATATACATATACACGCGTACTATTTATTGTGATGCTGACTATGGTCGAAACCTGGAGCTCCTTGCAAGACCCATTGTGCCTGAGGATCGAGCAAATTCGAACTGCACCGCAGACGAAATCATTTGGGGGAGATTTGGGGCCCTAAACCCCCTAATCCTTGCAGTATGGTGAGGCTGCCAGGCCTGTAGCAAAACCCTAAACCCCATAAGTCCTAAGCGTTCCGAGTTAAGGGGCTTGGGCCTCGCGACGGCCCACTGTAACCCTAATCCCTAAAACCCTAAACCCTAATTCTCTGAAACCTAAACCGCGGATGTACAAGAGCACAGGCACTCATTCACTCATAATTACAGAATGTTGAGGGTTCGCGCTTCTTTTGCATGGCGTAGGCCTCTGCTCCGGTTTCCTAGATTATCTTGTTGATCTGCAGAAGCAGCTCATTGCTCGTGGGGACACATGTAGCAACCTCTTTCTTTGAGGGCGCGCTTGCCTTGATGCTGCATTGTATGGCTATGTCGGTTCATCCCATGTGGCAACGAACCCTAAACCCTAAACCTTAAAGCCTAAACCCTAAACTATGTCCATTTGGATAGATCCGTACTAGAGGGCCCTAAACCCCAAACCCTAAGCCCAAATTTTCCTCTTTCCTCACAGGAAAGTTCCGAAAGCCCTGCGTTAAACCCCGCCCTAGGTTGAACCTTCGATTTGAGACCCCTTCCCTAGGCAGGCCCTTAGGATGTGTTATGTTTTCCCTTATTGGGTTGAAGAGGATCATCTTATTTTCAGAGGGTCTTAAGCGCCGCCCCAAGAAACTCCCAGGTCAGAAACCCTAAGCCCTACACCCTAAACCTCAGAAGCCCCTCATGCAGGAACATGGTTTCAAACGGCTCTACAGGCCATCCTAAACCCTAAACCCTTAAGCCTAAACCCTTAAGCCCTTATAAACCCTTAAACCGACCCTAAACCCTAAACCTCAGACCTTCCTTGTTCCCGGTCCGAGGACTTCATCCGAGCCAAAGCGCAGAACGACCTCCTGGTGGCGATTGGCGAGGGCCAAGCGGAGGCAAGCCTTAGGGGGTTTAAGGGTTTAAGGGTTTAGGGTTTAAGGGTTTATAAGGGCTTAAGGGTTTATAAGGGTCTGTAAGGGTTTATAAGGGTTTATAAGGGTTTAAGTGTTTATAAGGGTTCAAGTGTTTTAGGGTTGTAGGGTTTTAGGGCTCTAGGGGTTTTAGGGTATGTTTTTGGGGTAGCTTAAGGGGTTTTAGGGTTTTAAGGATTTTAGGGATTTTAGGGTTCTAAAGTCAGTGTGCTGGCGCCGACCTCAGTCCACGCTTCAAAAAAGGGGGTTTTAGGGTCACGGAGCCAAGGCTGCAAAAGGTTTTAGGGTTTAGGGTTTAGGGCTTCCTACTCAGAACCCTATTCATAAGGGCCCATGAACCTTCAAGGAGAGTTCTCAGCAGCTGTAGGCTAGAGGGCTCTTCGAAGCTTGACATGGCACCAGCCTGGGACCTGAACCCTAAACCCTTCTGGAGCTGTCTGCCGGGTTTCGTAATGTAGTTTCACTGCTTTCGGAAGGAGCCCGGGAGGTAACCCTTACAAGTTGCACTTAGACACTGCCCTGCTTAGGGTTTAGGGTTAATGCGTCCTTCAGAATGAACTGGCCAGGGCTGGCGAATGGCAGCAGAGGCGCGTTGTGCAGCTACAATGGTCGACAGTAGCCCTAAACCCTAAAATCCTAAAACCCCAAACTCTCTTCAGGCGTAGTTCGAAGATTTGGGAGGTTCGGGAGAGGCTTGCATCTGCAGAGTGGCTTGAGGGGACAAAAAGAAGAGTTTTTGTTTCTTTTTTTTTTTTTGGGGGGGGGGGGGGGGGGGGGGTAAAAGTGCGGGTTATAAGTAGGGCAACTATATAGCTGGTTAATAACTCTACTTATAGTTCCCCATGAACCTTCAAGTAGGGGTTTACTTGGGGCTCTACTTCACCTACTATTTGGGGTGGGGGGGGGGGGGGGGGGGGAGGGGTTCTAGCCTATCTGCATAGCTTTGGCATTGGGAATGAGAGCTTCGATGCTACCGTACAGATTTCGAATGTCTTGAAGCTTACGGGGATTTAGGGCGTTTAGCCCATTTAAAGGATATTTTTCTTTGTTTTACAGCTGTTTGGGTGTGTTTAATTTATTTCTTCTAGGGGTTCTGCCTACAATATGAGGAAACACCCCAAGCCCTAAACCCTAAACCCTAAACCCTAAACGTATGCGACCCAGACCCCGGACTGAATCCACGGCAGGCACAAGCTTTCCTCGATGGGCTCGAGGACAGCGTGAATGCTACCTGACAAGAGGGTGCCTTCTGTTTGGGTTTAGGGTTTAGGGTTTAGGGTTTAGGGTTTAGGGTTTAGGGTTTAGGGTTTAGGGCTTAGGGCCTAGGGTTTAGGGTTTAGGGTTTAGGGTTTAGGGTTTAGGGTTTAGGGTTTAGGGTTTAGGGTTTAGCCTCTAGTTAAAAGTGGGGTTATAAGTAGCGCAACTGTAACTATATCTGGGTATAACCTAGTTCGGGGCACTTATTAACTTATTAACCCTAGCTACCCATGAAGCGTCAAGTACGGCTCAGGCTTCAAGGGAGGGAGTTCAATCTAGGCTTTATGACTTGGGGTTACGATATCTGGGATTAAGAGTTTCGGTGGTTGAGTTTTTTGCGTAAGACCTTAAGTTAAGCCCCCCTAAACCCTAAACCCTCAACCCTAAACCCTAAACCCTAGGGTTTGTCGGGTTCATGTTTAACCTACGTCTAGCAACGCCAAACGCGTCCGAAGTACGGAGCCTGCAATCCTGAACTTTAGGGTTGAGGGTTTAGGGTTTAGGGTTAGGGTTTAGGGTTCAGGGTTTAGGGTTTAGGGTTTAGGGTTTAGGGATTAGGGTTTAGGGTTTAGGGTTTAGGGTTTCCCTCTTCAGCTTTGGAGACTTGCAACTTAGCCCAGAAACCCTCTGTGCCTGAACCCTATATAGATGGTGTGTCCCAATCATGGGTACACTTGTTTGGGGGGATCCCATAAATTCCTATAACATGAATATGGATTCTAGTATTAGGGGGGGCGGGGGGTATACTAGGGTGGGTTCTACCCTAAACCCCAAAACCCCAAAACCCTAAACGGGATGTTCAAAGTTTAGTTGCTCAAATAAGGGGGCCAGCCCACATGATAGGGAGCTCCGGGAAAAGCCGTCCATGTACGTAGCACTGAGCTGCAGGGAGCAAAATGCATGAGCGTTGGAGTTCAAATCGTCCCTTGTGCTATACTCCCCTTAGAATCTTAATGCAAATAATATTTTTAATATCCTCTTGGGTTTTATATGAACAAAAAGTAATTCCCAAGGGGGATATAGTTTATGTTCCTCCATGGCCGCAACCAGAGTGGTAGCACTGACACTGATGGCAGGAATGCCTGAATGTGAGGGTTTAGGGTTTAGGGTTTAGGCCCTAAACCCTAAACCCCGAGTTGCACCCTGTGCACATTTGAACCACAAAGCCCTAGGCGAAGCGACAAGAGAAACGGTTCTGAGACTTGCTGAGGCCAGCGCGCGTCGCGTGGATTTGCAGCTCGGCGCAATTTGGGCCTGTCTGAACTCGGGTTGTGAATGTAACGTTCCCTTATTCAGTCTTCGAGCTCGGTAAACGAACACTCTTCCGTTTGCGGCAGCATGATTTGTTAAAGCCTGGATTGTGTGGGCACCTGTCTGCGAAACTATTCAAACATAGCCCGGAATCATGAGATCCTATGCCACTTTACCTACAGACCAGGACTTTACAAAAAAGGTAAAACAGAGAGCCTTAAATGCAGGTATCGCCTCTATCACAAGGATTTCGCCGTGAACAACCTCACGAAGCTCTTTGCAGGCTTCAAGCAAGCTAGCCCTGGCCGTGGCCCTGTAAACCTATAAATCATATAAGCCGCATGAGCCCCGTGAACCCTATGAATTATGCCTATAAATACCTTGTACACCTGTTAAAGCCTAAGCTATGTCGAAGCAGCTGCGGTTTAGGATTTAGTGCTTACTTGGAGGTTCACGGAGTTTTCAGCGGGGTTTTACGTAGGGTTGCTCTGACTCTTCGTGGTTTTTGCCTTACTTGGTGTACTTTTTAAACCTACTTCGAACGACCCATGAACCTCCAAGTATGGGAGTCTCAGTGGGTCGAGTTGTTGAGGTTTGAACCCGCAAATTGAGGGCCAGGAATTGCCTGGCAAGTACACAACATCAAGCCGTTCTTGGGCATGGGGTTTAGGGTTTAGGGTTTAGGGTTTATAGAGTTTAGGGTTTAGGGTTTAGGCCAGTTTAGGGTTTAGGGTTGAGGGTTAGGGTTTAGGGTTTAGGGTTTAGGGTTTAGGCGGGTTTAGGGCCCATATCTTCGTAAGTCAGGATTCTTTCGGGGATTCCTGTGATTCAGGGAGAGGGGCTAAGACTACAACTACCAATGCCTGCAGACGGGCCATCCAAGCTGTACCTGCATGCGGACGACACGGAAATCATCCTCCATAAGGCTGGCAGTCGGGTTGATGAAATCCTTTCAGCACGTGGAGAGATAAATAGGGTACCTCTGGCTCTTGCCAAGACCTCCTTCGCACTTTGGCGGTCACAGGGGTTATGCGCTTGGGTGCTGCTCTCGCCGAGCGGTTTTTTCTGCTTCCCTGAATTCCACTTGGAGTTTTAAAAACCGGGTTAAAAGGCAGGGTAGCTATAGATTGAACTGTTTGTAGCCTTATGTCGGGTTCTGAAAACCCTACTTATACCTACCCACATGAACCTCTTTGAGCAGTTTCGAGGCAAGGGCTTCCAGCCAAGGCCGTCCGGAGGAACCGCAGACTCGCCTCGGTGCCAACCTCGACTGCAAGGGCGCCCGCGCCTCCCCCACCAGCAGCTGCGTGCACAAATGAGGACCGGTCAGCATGACTTGCTCCCTCTAGCTTAGGAGTCCCTGCTGCCGATGTCCGTAGTCTTCCGGCACCAGAATCAAGAGCCCTATGTCGCGGAAGATTCCCGAGTGCGAGCCCTGTGCCCTCAGCCCTAAGCGTTTGCTTAAAGTTCCAAGCGCCCCGCAAGACAGGCGAGCGCATCCAGCTTCGCGGACAAAGCGTCCACGTGCGCGGCACTGTAACCTGAACCACTGGGCAGACTTGCGATTGGGGGGGGGGGGGGGCCTGCTGGCTGTGCAGCTAAAGCCCTGTTAAAACCTCCAGTAGACTCCATATAGGCAATATAGGCAGGCCCTTGGGCTATTATGTAACTATGTAATTATGTATCTCCCCTTACTGAATTTGAAAAGCACCGTCTGTAGAGAATACTTATCAAGAGGGCTTATATTCGAAAAATGCTGGAATCATGAACACGAACTGCTTATCATGATGCTTGTGCAATCATATGTATATAGATACAAGAACGGAGTCGGGTGCAGAAGCTCATCTGTTTGGATATTTGTTCTTCTGAGATATATATATATATATATACAGACTTTTTTATTTATAGTTATTTATTTATTTATGTTTCTATGTATGTGTGTATAAGGCAGTTCGGCTACTTGCAGTAGGCAGCATGCAAAAAGCGCAGTTCTCTACATGCAGTTCTTTGTTTGAGGTTCTCGGGGATTATCGTACCCCCTATTATAATCCCTACTCAGGACTGCTAGTATACGGGGGAACATCCCAAGCTTAATCGCTTCTGAACCTCGGGCCCCGCCAGCATCAAGCGAATGCAGCAAGCCCCACGACACCTGACGGTCTCACGTTTCGACGACACATGGGCCTGTACATATTTGGCACCGGTGGACAAGCGTCGAACTCAACAGCAACAGAGAAGTTCTACCAGCTAGCACCCTTTGCTCCGTACAACTCCTCGGACCCGGAGTACGCCCTTATACCCTTTGTTTTGGGTTTAGGGTCCCTTATAACCCCCGTAAAAACAAAAAGGGTCCCCTTTTTAGGGTCTGGACTGTAATTATCTAGCCGGTATGTAGTTTCGACAGTCACTTTGCTCGGCAAGGTGCCCTCAAAGGAAAGGATTTGACTAAGGCCTCGTCAGCCCAGACCCTTGGATGCTGGTTTGGGGCGTAATCCTTCCCGATATGCTACGCACCCCTGTTTGCAATTGGCAGATTCCCATGCAATTTTTCAGCAATGTTTTAACATGAGGGTGTTCGTGCTCCTGACGCGCTCAACCCTCGACTTTACACCCCGTGCCCTAACCCCTACAACACGAATATATTATGATATGCATATAAGAAGATTTGTTCAGCTTCTTGAGATATATGACGGTACAGTAATTCACAATACGGTACTAGCATAGTGTACTGAGCATCAGTCACCCGAAGTGGGCGCCCCTAAGGCCTGGAAGTCTGAGAACTTGTCTGCGGTCATGATCCTTCAGTCGACGTTTTCAGGAGCAGTATTTGGAGCACCTTTGAGCCGTGTCAGGGAGAGAGCCTTTGTCTTCGAGCGCACCTTCGGGAAACATCCCAAGGCCATCAAGGCCTTCGGCGACGTATAAACAAACCATAAACCCTAAACCCCAAGAATCCTACTGGGGGGTGGTTCATTTTTTTTCGTGTTTTCTGGTGGGCTCAGGGTTGCGGTGCTTCAGGATCCAGCGTGTGGGAGACAGGCTGAGCTGATCGGATCGGATGGCTATCCCGGAGTTTCAGGATTGCTGCTTTTGATATCAAGAGACTTCCATTTCAGTGGAGTGGTTGTTATACAAAAGGCCCAAAAGAACCCTAAAACCCTAATTTGTAAATTGGATGCTCACTTCCTGGCTCTGCCTTTTCTACGAGATTCTAAGCAACCTCGTCGTTTCCATGCCAAGGCTCTGTCACATTTCCGGGGCATCTACATCTATGTATCTGTATATATATACATATAGACATGTGTGTATGTGCGCATGTACGTATGTCCGCATGTACGTATGTACGTAATGTATTTTATGTATGTAGTATATGTATGTACGTATGTATGCATGTATGCATGTTTGTACACAGACATCTCATTATATCTAGATGGACCAACATGTGAGCAACAAGATGCAGGGACACCACAAGTGAATGGTTCGGCACCCTGAATGACTGGTCAGCGCATTTGTCAGCAGCAAGACATAGGTGCATTGTTGGCATCGTCGTCAAAGTGTGTTGTGGGTACTTGCAGACGTGCTGAAGCGCCATTGTTTCAGACCAAGTGCTTGCTGCCTAGTCATCTTTCTTTCCAGTGCAACATATTTCATGTAATATTATATATATATATATATGTATTTATCTAACTTATTTGGTATTTTAATCACCTGAACATTAAAAGTCGTAATGGCACTAGTGTTTGTTTCATATCTAATTAACATACATCCTTCTATATATGTATATGTATACACAGATATATAGTATACATAAATAAATAAATAATATATATATATATATATATATATATATTGTACCATATACACATACGCAGCCTCGGGAGGGCCAGGGCCTCCAAGGGTGTGCGCAACAGCTCCTGCGACCTCAGCGGGGCTTCCCCAGCCGGTCAGCCTGACAACCAAACTTGGGCCTGCAAGGTTTAGGGTTGGAGGCTTAGGGTTTAGGGTTTGGGGTTTAGGGTTTAGCAACTTGTGTCGTTTTGGTGAGAGTGGCTCATACTGTGTAGGCATACACCAGGCCGCGACGACACGACTTCCAAGCCTCTGGCGATTTCAGTCTCTTTGTGTTCTTTGGAGATTTGATTTCGGGATCTCACCTTCGCAGCTCCAGAGGGCGATGCTTGGGAGGACAAGCCATCCAAGGATGTTAATGAAGGCTGCAACAGCACCCGCAACCCGGAGCCAACTCAAGGCACCAACATCAGCAGAGGCTAAGCAGAGGCTCGGGGAAGCCCACACAACACACGGGCCTTCACCACAATCCCTCCAAGAGGGATGCTCACGGCGATGTGGCAAGAGATCCATCCCCATTGCTCATAATTCCTCAACAAACTCATGCATGTGTGCTCTCCCCTAAACCCTATACCCTAAACCCCGTGGGGGTATTTTGCGATAAGCGGACATGTGGCTTTCCAGCCACTTCAACTTCTGGGCCCAATATGAGGTCTCCACGAGAATATATTTCTAGGGTTTAGGGTGTAGGGTTTGGGGCTTAGGGTTTAGGGGTCCCCAAGCGCCACGTTTTATCATGGACTAGAAGTCGTTTAACCGGTCCCTTGCTTTGTTCGCAGCATGATGCAGCACGGTTTCCTGGCTGTAAGCCAGCTGCTCTGACCTTGGAAGCACAGTGGCAAGGTTCGCAGAGTTTAGACCGCCAGGCTTGCATAACTGCGTAACCAACCTCAATTATCAGTTCTTCAAAGTAGGCCCCTATGCAGGACTAGCTGCAACTGTGGGACATAGCGAGGCTTTGGGGCATCTCTTCAGATCAATGGCCTCCACTTCAGCAAGGGCCCTCCTGTCCTTTTACCCCCTAAACCCGAAAGCCTGAGACCCCGAGCTCCTCAACTCTGAACCTGAGACCCCGAGCTCCTGGGTTCTACTTTACTTACCAAGTAAGGTTATGGGGGTTTCCGAAAATAGAGATACTTGCTTTTTGGTTTTATTTATTTTTTTTTTTTTTTGGGGGGGGGGGGGGGTTCTATTCTATTTGGGGTATAAAAGGGGTACCACTATTTTCGGAAATAGCCCTATAAGTCCAGTCACCCAGTCACCCAACTTTGTAGTTGCCATCAGGACTAAGTAGGGTTATAAGCAGGATAACTGCATAATCGTATCTAGGGTGCCATCGGACGTCGTCGTGCCAGGGGCACATACTCCAGCAAATCGAGCCCTGACCCACTCCAACTCAGCACTCAGCCAAGCAAACCCTAAACCCTAAACCCTATGCGGGCGCTGGATGTGCGTGCAGTGCGGGTGGCGAAACCCTATAGCCATCATCCATCGCCAAGGCTTCGGAGCCTAATGTTGCCTTGACAACTCGTTTGATGCGATGGCTCTTCCAAGAGTTGATGCTCAGGTCCCTACTTCTAACTGCCCATGAACCTCCAAGACCCCCCAACCCTAAGCCCAGTTCTGTAGGGGTCGGAGTATTTACTGGTAGTAGTATTCCCTTAGTTTCCCTTTATAGGTATGCTATATGAACCCCCAGCTTTTGTTAATGAGGAAGGCCCCGACTTGGAGGTTCACGGGTAGTTATACTAGACTTCTGAGCTTACTTCGGGTACTTGAAACACTTATAGCTACCCTTGAAGCTCTAAGTAGGCCCAAGAATCTCGAAAAAAGGCCGAGCTCACAGGGCCAGAGCCCCTTGCGCGCGCCGTATCCGCCGCCGGAGGCGGGGCTTGGGCGGTTTGGGCTTTTAGGGTGTGGGGGTTTAGGGTTGTTTAGGGTCTAGGGTTGAAGGCGTGCCAAACGACAGCTCGGAAAGCCAACGATCACCCCTTTACATACTGCAGCCTCTGCCCCGCCCCTCCCCACCCCAAGGTTTAGGGTTTAGCGCCCCTTGCCATGTGCGCGTGATGGCTGATTATGTACCTTTGTGTTGCCGAGGCGTGCTACGAGCTGAAGCGCTGGCCGGCGCAACACCTCGAGGCTGGAGGGTCGTAGAGGGCCCTCTTGTAGAGGCATTGCAATTTCCCTAAACACTGAACCCAAAACCCTAACCCTCAACTCTATACGCTTTGAGAAACCTCAGAATCCGGACTCTGGACATCTCAAGCAGCACAGCTGCAAAAACTGCCAATAGGCCCTAAAGCTCAGAGCTTCAAGAACATCCCGAGCCCCTGGCCATGATTCTGGACCCAAGAGCCCCTTGTCTTGGAACTTGCTTTGTCTGCCTTTCATGCCCCCCACCTCACCTTGACCTAAACCCTAAACCCTAAACCCTAAACCCTAAACCCTAAACCCTAAACCATGAGGGCGGCCGTGGAAATTGGAGTTCGGCGTGCGGGCTCCCATGTGGCGACTGGAGGTGCCCGTCAAGAGTGCATTGAGTCGGTTGCTACTTGGAGGTTTAGGGTTTAGGGTTTAGGGTTTAGGGTTTAGGGTTTAGGGTTCGGGGTTTAGGGTTTAGGGTTTAGGGTTTAGGGTTTGGAGTTAGAACCCAAGTATAACCATGTCAGGGTGTGCATTGAGTCGGTT